GTCTATTCCAAGACGTAGGAGCAGCATGAGGAGGATCTGCGAGAGGTTTTGGATACTCTGAGGAGAGAGAGCTTGTACGCCAAGTTCTCCAAGTGTGAGTTCTGGTTGCGCGAGGTGCAGTTTCTTGGGCACCTTGTCAACCAGAACGGTATTCTGGTCGACCCGGCCAAGGTGGAGGCCGTGATGAGATGGGAGGTTCCGAAGTCTCCATCTGAGATTTGGAGTTTCCTGGGATTAGCCGGCTACTATCGGAGATTCATCCAGGATTTCTCCAAGACAGCCGTACCCTTGACGCGGCTGACGAAGAAGGCCGTAGTCTTTCGTTGGGGGCCTGAGCAGCAGGCAGCGTTTGAGACACTGAGGCAGAGGTTGTGCGAGGCGCCGATCTTAGCCCTGCCAGAGGGCGTAGAGGATTTTGTTGTGTACTGCGACGCGTCTATATCAGGTTTGGGCGCGGTATTGATGCAGAGAGGGCATGTCATCGCCTACGCTTCGAGGCAGCTGAAGCCTCACGAGGCGAACTACCCGACGCATGATTGGGAGCTGGGGGCTGTTGTATTCGCCCTCAAGATTTGGCGTCATTACCTCTATGGGGTTCGTTGTACCATTTACACGGACCATAAGAGCCTGAGGTATCTCATGGACTAGCCAAATCTAAATATGAGGCAACGACGGTGGCTTGATGTGGTCAAGGATTATGATTGTGAAATCCTCTACCACCCGGGGAAGGCCAACGTTGTGGCCGACGCGCTTAGCCGCAAGGCAGCGCCGATCAGGGATACCTGCATGAGGATGACCGTGGTTACTCCACTGTTGGAGCAGATTCGAGAGGCCCAGCAGGAGGCCATGAAGGAGGAACATCGGAAGAGTGAGCGGATTGTAGGCTAGGTTTCCTCCTTCGATTATGATAGCCGAGGGCTGTTGACCCTCCACCGCAGGGTGTGGGTGCTGTACCACAAGGGTGTGCGTCAGGTTCTGATGGAGGAGGCGCACAAATCTCGATTCTCCATTCATCCCGAGGCGACGAAGATGTATAGGGATCTTCGTCTGGACTATTGGTGGCCCTGCATGAAGCGGGATGTGGCATGGTACGTGGAGCGGTGCTTGACCTGCAGGAAGGTCAAGGCCGAGCATCAGAGACCACACGGCAAGATGCAGCCGTTAGATATCCCGCTGTGGAAGTGGGAAGACATCACGATGGATTTTATCACAAAGCTTCCTAGGACCGCGCGGGGAGTGGATTCGATTTGGGTCATCGTCGATCGATTGACCAAGAGCGCCCATTTTATTCCAATTCAGGAGAGCATCTCGGCCGAGAAGTTGGCCGACATCTACATCAAGGAGGTGGTGGCGCGGCACGGGGTGCCAGTTTCGGTGATTTCAGACAGGGATGTGCGGTTCACTTCCAGGTTTTGGAAGAAGTTTCATGACGAGTTGGGTACTCGTCTGCACTTTAGCACTGCATTTCACCCGCAGACGGATGGTCAGAGTGAGCGGACCATCCAGACTTTGGAGGATATGCTGCGGGCATGTGTGCTAGACTTCGGTGGTAGCTGGGATACTTACCTCCCATTGGCTGAGTTCTCGTATAACAACAGCTATCATGCGAGTATCGATCGTCCTCCCTTCGAGATGTTGTACTGGAGGAAGTGTAGGACCCCGATATGTTGGGGTGAGGTTGGCCAGAGGGTCATGGGGAGCACCGAAGTGGTGCTCAAGACGACAGAGAGGATTCAGCAGGTTCGGAGCAGACTTCAAACTGCTCAGAGTCGGCAGAAAAGTTATGCCGACAAGCGCCGATCAGACCTGGAGTTCCAGGTCGGGGACATGGTTCTCCTGAAGGTGTCGCCATGGAAGGGCGTCATCCGATTCAGGAAACGGGGCAAGTTGGGCCCCAGGTACATTGGACCGTTCAGGGTCCTAGCCCGGGTGGGCAAGGTGGCGTACAGGTTAGATCTGCCAGCCGAACTCAGCCAAATCCACATCACTTTCCACGTCTCTCAGCTGCGGAAGTGCCTGGTGGACGACTCAGCAGTAGTACCCTTAGAGGACATTCAGGTCGACGACAGCCTGAATTACATTGAGCGACCTGTAGCAATCCTCGACCGGAAGTCGAAGGATCTGAGGAACAAGAGGGTGGAGCTCGTAAAGGTGCAATGGCAGCACCGGAAGGGCTCGGAATGGATCTGGGAGCCGGTGGATGAAATGATGGAGCATTACCTAGAGCTGTTCCAGGATCGAGCAGCAGACTTCGAGGACGAAGTCTAAAAATAAGTGGGGGAGATTTGTAGCACCTGGTTCCTGGTATGTATTTCATTTATGTAATTTTACATTTTTGGCCTGGGACTCAGCGAGTTGATGGCCCAACTCACCGAGTAGAAGCGGGATGAGACGCGGGATTTAAGTATGGGACTCGTCGAGTCGGGTCCTGGACTCGACGAGTAGGCTCTGTTTGGACAAAACCCTAATCTGAGGGTTTGCACCCTATTTAAACAACCTTATACAGCCTCCATCGCCCCTTTATGCTCCCAGAAACCCTCCATAGCAAACCCTAAGTGTTTTGGTGCAAGATCTAAGGCTTTTGAGTGATTTTTGTGGGTTTTGACCACAAGGAAGAAGGAAGAGCATAGAAGGATCAAGCGGAGACTGAAGGATTCGAGTTTGGTGCATCATTTGCAGTGTTTGAAAGGTATAAAGTCTGTACCTTGCTTGCTTATTCGTTTGATCCCTTTTTGGGGAGATTTAGGGCATTTATAAGCCATTCTTGGTAACCAACCATGATTGCAAGCATGGTTAGGGGTCAAAACTTCGGATCTAGGACTTGGGGAGAGTCACAAGGCAGATTGGGGTTGCTTTTGCACTCAAGGAAGGCCCCATGCAACATAAGAGCCATTTTAGGGCCTTTTAGGCTCAAAAGTCCCATGCATGCACGTAAAGTTCGTGACTTTATGTGCTAGATCGAGCTTAGGGGCTTGGATCTATTATTTGGACAAAAGTTGTACATCAGAAATCGAGAAAATAGGACTTGGACGCTATCGACTCGGCGAGTCCGTTCTTGGGACTCGACGAGTCCAAGGCAGAAAGTCCCCATATCTGTTGAGGGTCAAAAGAACACAGTTGGGTGTTAGAAGGGTTGTAGAAGGTCCAAAGGAGTGACCCAACGTACTGGACTTAGCCTTCAACCTGGACTTCATGGGACTCGGCGAGTCCATGAACAGACTCGGCGAGTCCAAGGCAATCTCCCAACTTTTGAAGATGAACTCGACGAGTTGTTCATACAACTCGGCGAGTCGAGGACAGGACGTGTTCATAGGATGAAGATGGACTCGACGAGTTGTTCATACAACTCGGCGAGTCGGATGAAGGTTCATCAGGGGTTGTGTAGAAGGAGAACTCGTCGAGTCGTTGCTAAACTCGACGAGTAGAGTCGTGGATGAGGACAGTTGAAGAGATAGGGACTCGACGAGTTGGCGGCCCAACTCGGCGAGTCGGGTCAACTGGAAGTTGACTTTGACTTTGACTTGGACTTGGTCAGGGGTAAAATGGTCATTTTACCCTAAGAATAGTTATCAGACTCTGATTGAGTGTTTTGTGGGGATTATAGCCGGAGGATTTCCGGAGCAGCAGCAGACAGAGATTTCCCGCACAGATTATCAGCGACTACTCGTTCGAGGTGAGTTACCTTTCAGTAGCGGTGGGTGTACGACCACAATGGCGGCCCACCAGTAGGAGTTGTATGTTAGATGATTGTCTTTGTGATATTCATCTAGGGTTGCTGCTACCTGATATGTTTATGTGCTAGCATGATATGTTATGTGTTATATGTGATAGTGTTAGTAGGGGGAGAATAGTCCCCAAGTTCGGTCGTTAGGACCGAAGGGTAGGTCGGGCACCCCAATATTGCTTGACAGTATGTTCATGCTATGATATTATGTGGTAGTAGTAGGAGGTGAAATAGTCCTCGGATGTCGGTCGTAAGGACCGACGGGTAAGTCAAGCACCCCAGAATGGCTTGACCTGGGTAGTCAGGCACCCCAGAATTGCCTGGCAGTATATGTGTGTTATGTGGTAGTGGTAGGGGTGAAATAGTCCCCGGTAGTCGGGTGAAACAGACCGACGGGTAAGTCAAGCACCCCAGAATGGCTTGACCTGGGTAAGTCAATCACCCCAGAATGGCTTGACCTGGGTAGTCAGGCACCCCAGAACTGCCTGACAGTATGTATTGTATATGTGTGGTACGATGGGGGGAACTCACTAAGCTTCGTGCTTACAGTTTACAGTTTTGGTTTCAGCTACCTTTTCAACGAAGGGGAAAGAGCTGGCGCGGTAGTGGCACATCATACACACATGCATTGATTTTCCGCACTTGAGATATTCTGGGATTGTACTCTGACATGTTGCTATTATATGTTTTGGGTTTTTAGACATGATACATTGATTCACAAAATGATACATTGTTACGCAGTTTTTTTATGAATGTTTTATAATCCGTTAATTAAAATGAAATTTTTGGACTCGAAATTTGGGATGTTACAAAACCTATCACTGAAAAGTTTCATAACAAGCTCTCCCATTGGAAATCTAGAACCCTCTCGTCTGGGGGATGTTTAACCCTAATAAAGGCGGTACTTGGAAATCTCCACACCTTTTACATGTCATTATTTCGGGACCCCATTGGTGTCGTTGAAGAGTTGGAAAAAATTAGAAGAAAATTTTTATGGGGCGGTAACTCTGAAAGAAAAAAAATATATCAGGTCTCTTGGGAAAAGGTGGTTGCATCCAAAGCTAACGGTGGTCTAGGGGTAGGATCCATCCGTGCGCTCAACATTACACTCCTAATCAAATGGTAGTGGAGAATTAAAACTGAACCTACATCTTTATGGGCAAAAATAATAATAGACAATCACAATTTGAAGAACAAACCTACAGACTATCTTGCCAAAAAGAACATTAATAGTGTTTGGAAGAACATAACTGGAGTGAAAAACAACATTGAGACAATGGGAATTCAACTCAATGATCTCTCTAAACAGATTGTAAAAACGGGTAATAAAACGCAATTTTGTCACGACATATGGGTTGGAGCGGAGAAATTAAAAGTCACATATCCAAGGTTGTACGAGCTAGACAGAAATAAGTCATGTAAAGTGGCTGAAAGACTCAATTCAAATAGGAACAATTGGCAATGGTCATCCAACCCAGCTGACGCTGGTCTCACCACTGATCTTGAGAACCTATTAGCGGTCACTACATCAATTTGCTTCCTTCCAGGTGACGATCACATCTCATGCGTTATTGCACCCGATGGCTCATACAGAGTTGACATCATGAGAAAGAAAATTGAGGCGGAAACTGAGGTGACCAATAACCCCACCATAATCAACCGGTGCAAACTGATTCCTATCTGGAGAGCCTTATTGAATCGAATTCCATCAGACATCGCCATCGCCCTCGCAAACAGGGGTATAAATATTGACATGTGTGCTTGCAGTTCTTGTAATGATGATATTGAGGATGCAAACCATATTTTGGTATCGTGTCCTTTTTGCTAAGCTATCACAAACAATACTCTTCGGTGGTGTGGTATTACGAATGTACATGTTCAAAATATAGCAGAGTTACTAACCTTTACTGTGAATTGGAGTTCTAATCAAAAGAAAAAGGAGAGATTGACAATAATTTGCTATGGATTACTATGGAGGGCTCGGAATGATCGTTTATTTCAAGCAAAATTTACAAATCCAACTAAAGTGGTGGAGTCCATCAAGGCAATGGTTTTAATGTAGTTGAAATATGTGAGCAAAAAAGTTATCTGTTCTTGGGAAATTTTTTGTTCTTCCCCATTTTCTCTCTAAAACAATCTATTTTGTAACTACTACTCCCCTTTCAACATCTTGTTTTCCGGGCTAGCTTTTTTATATTATATTCGCCGTTCAAAAAAATAATAATTTAATAAGAGTTTAATTTAAAAATATAATAAAAAAACATTAATGATAATGTTTTTTTTATGTTGATTGTTGATTGAAATTTTAGAAAAAGATTTAAAGATTTTCATAAAACATAACCCAGAGATAAAAGCCAAGTGAACTAACTGGCAGCACATACCCAGGCTTGGATATATGGAGTTGGCCGGGTCAATACCATTATACGACTGCATAATTGTAGATATGTCTACTACCCGTGTTAATATCCACTTCCCAACGCTTAAATATTTTAATTAACTCGTGGCTTTCATAGTATATAATATAGAAATAGGAACGCTTGAATATTTTAATTAACTCGTGGCTTTCATGGCATAATATACAAATAGTGTGTGTTTGATACTTTGATTTGCCTTCTAATCGGATCCAAATATCGGCTGGATCCAAAATATTCAATTGGAATTGAAATGTTTGATAGTCAGTCCAAACCTTGGACCTGGTCCATTTGCTGATTCGATCCCCTACGCAACATTGGACAAACTTGGGCAAATATCGACTATTCCCATTTTGCCCTAATCGTCGCTCCACATATCAGCCTCCGACTTTACAGCCTCCGACCACCTTTCCTCCGACTCAGGTGCGAAAATCGTCTTCCTCCGACCACGCAGCCTCCAACCACCCTTCCTCCGACTTATGTGTGATTTGATTTCTGAATCGATTTCTTTCAATCGTTCATTCAAGCTTGATGAATCGATTTTTACAAAAAAATGTTTGTTCATTCAACCACCCTTCCTTCGACTTATGTGCGAAATTTTTTGTTTTGTTTTTAATATATAGCTTTATGTGGATTTGAGTTTAACATTTTTAATTTCTGGGAATTTGAAGATGCTTTTGTTTCACATGGATTTTGGAACCAACACTTATGGCATTATCTCACCAGATACGCAATTTTCTATGTATATTTGATAGGAATATAATCTGATTTGCAACACCGTATCACTCGATTCTGATTACTTTTAAGTTAATTCAGTTCATATTTGTATAATCAAGCTATTTTCAAGTTATTGACTCGTTTTGTAACTTATGCTGCAGGATACATAATGACTCAGATACTGCTCCATGACAAACTTCATGTGACAATCTACGAAGTTAATCTTCATTCGAGTGGTGGAGGAAATAAATTCACGAAGGGTTATGTCACTGTGGACTACGACTTTCATATTTTGGTTTTTGTTCATCATCCACCATTTCAGAAAACGTGGTCTATCCTAGAACTTTGGGCAGGTGCGGTGCGGTTCGGTTCGGTGCGGTTCGGTGCGGTTATTAGTCAAAACCTCACCACTAACCGCAAATGCGGTTAATCCATTTTCAAAACCGCTTAGTGCGGTTATTTTTGCGTTGCTGTTAGGCGGTTATCTTTGCGGTGCGGTTTGACGGTTATTTTTGCGGTACGGTTTTGTTTTTTTTGTGTTGTGGTTATTAACTGCATTGATTTGGTGCAGTTATTTTGTGTGGTTTTTAACCACAGTTTAGAGCTCAAACGGTTTTAAAAGTTCAAACATATTACTTGTAATGATAAAAAAAATCATAAGGTATAAGACAATTAACTTAAATCACAAACAACTAATATCTTAAAAACGTCAAATCAATAGTAATTAACAATAAATATCTTAAAATTGTCTAATTTCACAATTTTTCAAAGTTAAACATAACAAAAAACCAACACTTTTGTCTTCTAGTATTTTATCCATCTTTCATCCATGAAACTTGTCTTACTTTCAATATTTAATATAGGGATAATGACTTGAAAGGGTAACGAACTTTCGACTTTGTTCACATTTAGTCACTAAACTTTTTTTCGTTATCTATTTGCCACTGAACTATTGAAACTGTTCACATTTTACCCTTATGACCGGTTGTTACCGGTCATAAGGGTAAAATGTGAACAGTTTCAATAGTTCAGTGGCAAATAGATAATGAAAAAAAAGTTTAGTGACTAAATGTGAACAAAATCGAAAGTTTGTTTCCCTCTAAAAAAGTTCAATGAATTGAGCGCTTTCTCATTCCCTTTTTGGTTTTATAATCATTTTTTGATTATAAAAAGGGGGAGAGATTTAGATATGGAAATTCGAAAGTTGAAAATTTCATATTATGCGGACTTGAAGACCGAAGTGACCTCGAGTATTTGAAGTTTATAAAATGATTCGACTGGAGATTCGGAACTGATTTCGGTTCATGATGGGTTTGGACTTAAATTTTGGGTAATTTTTTGGAGAATGAGAAACTCCTAATTACCTTTTGATGCTCGGTTTGTATGGTCTCACATTCTAGAACCTAGATTGAAAAGTCATGGAAGAATTGAAGATTTGAGGTTCATCTCTACATGTGTCATGTTTGAGGCTCGGTTCGTGAAGTTTCTCGAGTTTGGAAGATTTGAAGCGGGTTATCCATTCCTAACTTTGAGAGGGAGAATGTTGGGTACAAAGTTATCCATGTATGACTTTATAAATGGTTTGACTTTTATAGACTCACTTGCATGTGGTAAAGTAACCTTGTGACATATGAGAGAGAGAGAGAGAGACATTGGTTTTTTATTTCGGTTTCGGTTTTTCATTTTTTTTTAAATATATTTTTTGGGGTTTTGTTTTATTTATTTCATAGATTTCTTCATCAACAAATGTTGCTAGAATTTAACAAAAATAAATAATTTGCTAAAACATAATACAAGAGGAAGTTTGTTCACATTTAGTCATTAAACTTTTTTTAGAGGGAAACGAACTTTCGATTTTGTTCACATTTACTTACTAAACTTTTTTTCATTATCTATTTGCCATTGAACTATTGAAAGTGTTCACATTTTACCCTTATGACCGGTAACAACCGGTCATAAGGGTAAAATGTGAACAGTTTCAATAGTTCAGTGGCAAATAGATAACGAAAAAAAGTTTAGTGACTAAATGTGAACAAAGTCAAAAGTTCGTTACTCTTTCAAGTCATTATCCCTTTAATATATTAATAATTAATAAAAAAAATATATAGATAATATATGCGGTGTGGTGCGGTTTTTTTGCGGTTTTTGAAAACTAATAATCGCACCGCACCGCAAATTTGCGGTTTTTGAAAAACAGAAAACCTCACCATAAGTTTTTTATTGCGGTTGCGGTTTATCGGTTGTGGTTTTTACGGTTAATTTTAGTTGCGGTGCGGTTTTTGCTCACCCATACTAGAACTCGATTTCAAAAAACTCTAGAACACAAAACTCGAATTAAAAAACACACGATATCAGAAAAATCCTAGAATGCAAAACACACGATTTCAGAAACACGTGATATCAGAAAACCCTAGAAATTGATTTTAGAAACTCAAAAATCATGTTTTCGTAATCACAGGATGCCACTGTCAATCACCAACCTTGTGCTCCTCCTCACGTGCCTCGTGTTCCTGCTTCAATTTCGCTTACGTTCCATTAAAACCGACTATAGTGGGTAAAAAGACTAAACTAACATGTAAAATCTAAGTTTAAACCCTTATAAAGCTAAAAAAAAAAGTTAAGGAACTTTTTAAACCAAAACATGAAAATTTGTAGAGTTTAAATGAAATTAATGTTGGGTTTTCTCTTGGGTTTTTTAGCCCATGAGGAAAGCCCACTTCTTTAGCCCATGTGTGTGTATATATATATATATATATATATATATATATATATATATATGTTACATGTCATAATTTCATTAACACACAAAATTTTTCAGTCACCAAGAGAGTTAGAGAGAGTAAGAAGCAAAAGAGGGTTTTTTTCTCAATTCCCATTTTTGAAGATACACCTTCAGTGTTTGGTAATTTCCCGTAGATCCAACAGTGCGTTTTCTTTCAATTTTGGATAGCTGCTTCCTAACATCGACACCTTCAGATCCTACGGTTGAATTGTCGAGATCAGCTCCAGAGACTCGGGAATTGTCGCTTCTGTTTGCTGTTGGAAATCAGGAACGTTTTTGGTGATATTCTTCTTTGTCTTTGCTTATTTGATTCCATATGCTTGATGTGATTTAGTTCCAAGTATATGATGATTATTGTTTGCCTCTAGTACATCTAGAGAAGACTTTGTATTGCTCTAATATTGATGATAATGGATTTGAAGTGGTTCTAGTAGTCCCGTGGTTTTACTCTCATTTCTTAAGAGGTTTCCACGCTAAAATTTCGGTGTCTTTATTGGTTGATTACTTATTGTTTTGGGTTGATTATATTGATCATATAACTTGCATTGGGGATGACTTGTTGAATGTGAAAATATCTTATTTGTTTGCATCCTAAAAGGTTCATTCAAGATGAGAATAGTTTAGTCAAACGAAGTATTATTCCGCATTGTTAGTTACCGTTGTGGCTGTCTTTTTCCCATCAGATTGGTATCAGAGCCTGGTTCTTGTTATTAGGTTACTTGCTTGAAAAATGGAAGCTAATACAAATAGGATTGTAAATTTGAATGGTTCCAATTATCAAGTTTGGAGAGTCAAGATGGAAGACCTTCTTTATGTGAATGGTTATTATATGCCTGTGTTTAATACTGAAAAACCTGAAGATAAAATAGATGCAAAGTGGAATATTTTGCATAGAAAGGTTTGTGGGTATATTCGACAATGGGTTGATGATAATGTTTTGAACCATATTAGCGCGGAGATTTATGCTCGTACTTTGTGGAACAAGCTTGAGCAGTTGTATGCTCGGAAGATCGGGAACAATAAATTGTTCTTGATTAAACAGTTGATTGGCTTGAAGTACCATAATGGAAATCCTATTAGTGATCATTTGAATTCTTTCCAGGGAATTATTAATCAGCTTGCAGGAATGGGTATCAAGTTTGAATATGAGTTACAAGGTTTACGGCTCCTTGTCACTTTACCGGATTCTTGGGAAAATTTTAGGACATCCTTGTCCAACTCTGCACCAGATGGTATTATCACCATGGAATTAGCTAAAGGCGGTGTTTTAAATGAAGAGATGAGAAGAAATTCACAAGGTTCCTCTTCACATTCAGAAGTCTTGGTCACAGAAAGCAGGTGGAGAAGTCAAAGTAGAGGTCCGAATAACAAAGGGAAGCATCGCAGTAAATCTAAAGGAATGTTTGCTGACTATGAGTGTAATCATTGTGGTAGAAAAGGGCACACAATACGATTCTACAGACAGTTGAAAAGGGAGAACAAGAAGGCAAATTACAACAATCAAAAGAACAACCACAAGAAAGATGATAGTGGTAATGATACTGCTGAAGTTAACACTACTACCGAAGAGTTCTTTATTTGCTGTGATTATGATATGGTTAATCTTGCACATGATGATTCGAGTTGGGTTATTGAAAGTGGTGCTACTAGTCATGTGACATCAAAAAGGGATTTTTACACATCTTACACTCCTGGTGATTTTGGGAATGTTAAGATGGGTAATAATGGGTTATCAAAGATTTTTGGTGTTAGAGATATTTGTTTGAAGTATGAGACTGGGATGGAGTTGGTTTTACACAATGTAAAACATGTTCCAGATATTAGACTTAGTTTGATCTCCGCTGGCTTACTTGATGATGACGGTTACCATAGTACCTATGGCGGTGGCATTTGAAAACTCACTCGTGGTTCTTTGATCGTGGCAAGAGGTGAAAGAGGCTGAAAATTATATATGACACATCCGAAGATCTCCAAAGAATCGATCCATGCATCGATACATTGTGACATGACCGATTTGTGACATAAGAGACTTGTTTACATGAGTTAAAAGGGGATGTGTTTATTGTTGACGAAAAATGTGTTGACCGATGTGCATAATGTGAATTTGAAGAGATGTTCTCATTGTCTGGCAGGTAAGCAAAATAAATTTTCCTTTAAGAGCCATCCTCCTTCCAGGAAGGTGAATATACTTGATTTGGTATATTCCGATGTATGTGGTCCCATGAAGACTAGGACACTTGGGTTTATACACTAAAGATCAAGTATTGGATGTGTTTAAGCATTGGATGTGTTTAAGCAGTTTCACGCCTTGGTTGTGAGACAAACTGGGAAGAAATTGAAGTGTGTTCGGACAGATAATGGCGGTGAATACATTGATCCTTTTGATGCTTATTGTAGAGAGCAAGGTATTCGACACCAAAAGAATCCTCCAAAGACACCACAGTTGAACGGTTTTGGCAGAACGGATGAATAGAACATTGGGTGAAAGAGTTAGATGTTTGTTTTCACATGCAGGATTGCTTGATTCTTCTTGGGGAGAAGCTTTGAATACGGCGGTACACATTATTAATCTTACTCCTTGTGTTCCTTTGTCTTTTGATGTTCCTGACAGTGTTTGGAGTGGCAAATATGTTTTATATTGTCATTTATGAGTCTTTGGATGCAAGGCTTTTGTGCATATTCCTAAAGATGAAAGATCAAAGGTTGATGTGAAGACCAAGCCATGTATATTCCTTGGTTATGGCTAAGATGAATTCAGTTACAGGTTATATGATCCAGTTCCGAAGAAACTCGTAAGGAGTCGTGATGTTGTATTTGTTGAAGATCAGAGTTTAAAAGATATTGAGAACACAAAGATAGTTCCTCAATCTACTGATGATCGTGTTGATTTGGATCCGGTTCCCCCTCAACATTTTGAGCCAATTAATGAAGATGTTCAGAATGATGAACAACATGGTACTGATGACAATAATGTTCTACAGCAGTCGGAGTTGGATGAAGATCTTCATCCAGAGTTGTCGGTACATGATATACCACCTTTTGTCCCACTTAGGCAGTCTACGAGAGATCGTCATCCTTCCACCCGTTATTCTACAAATGAGTATGTTTTAGTCACTGATGGGGGAGAACCTGATTGTTATGCAGAAGCTATGGAAGACGAGCATAAAAGAGAGTGGGTTGAAGCTATGAAAGATGAGATGAATTCCTTACATGAAAACAATACCTTTGAGTTGGTGAAGTTGCCTAAAGGCAAGACAGCTTTGAAGAACAAGTGGGCCTACAAAGTGAAGACTGAAGAACATACATCACAACCTAAGTAAAAGGATAGATTGGTGGTCAAAGGGTTCAGTCAAAGAAAGGGTATTGATTTTGATGAGATTTTCTCTCCAGTCGTGAAGATGGGTTCCATTCGGGTGATTATTGGTTTGGCTGCTAGCCTTGATCTTGAGGTTAAGCAAATGGATGTCAAGATAGCTTTCCTTCATGGTGACTTGGACAAGGAAATCTATATGGAGCAACTTGAAGGTTTTTAGGTTAAAGGCAAAGAAGACTATGTGTGTAGGCTTCAGAAAAGTCTTTATGGGTTGAAGCAAGCACCAAGAGACTGGTACAAGAAATTTGTGTCAGTCATGGATGAACAAGGCTACCACAAGACTACTTCAGATCACCGTGTTTTCTTCCAGAGGTTTGGTGATGATGATTTCATCATTTTATTGCTTTATGTTGATGATATGTTGATTGTTGGCAAGAATGCAGAGAGAATTGTTCAGTTGAAGAAACAATTGAGCAAGTCTTTTGCTATGAAAGACTTGGGGCCAGCAGAACAAATTCTTGGCATTCGGATTACTAGACATAGAGCTTCAAAGTAGTTACATATGTCACAAGAGCAATACATTGAGAGGGTGCTTTGCAGATTCAACATGGATAAA